GCGCCGCATCCAGTGTAGACCATAGATATGTATATATACAGTATATATCTATGGTGTAGACAGCATCACTGATTATAATGAGTTCTATAGTATTTTGTGGCGCCGCGCCACTCGCGTATGGTGTAGACATGGTGTAACATTGGTTTTGCTTTGTTTCACAGAACTAATCATTGCCTGGGTTGCGTACGTATGTGTGGGGCGGAGCTATCAAAGTAGGGGCGAGACCCTTTTGGGGTAGGGGCGTGTTTGTTTTGGTGATTTCAAATGTCAACATTGGCTACCAGAAATCACTTACCCCACCTTTAAGGGACCCAAGATATATCTAGAGACATTAGAATATCAGTTTCAATTTACCTAGCAACCACATAGCAACACCCTAGCAACTACCTAGGATTCCAGAGCAACTGTTCACAACTCTAGCATTTTTGTGAGGGGATTTGCACAAGTATGCGACCACATAGCAACACCGTAGCAACCGCCGAGAACACACTAGCAACCACCCAGAATTCCCTAGCATGAACAACCATTAACAACACTAGCATAATGGCAGCAAGATTTGAGCAAACAAGCAACCACATAGCAACACCCTAACAACTACCCACAATTCCCCAGCAACCAGTTACAGCACTAGCATGTTGGTGAGATCTGAGCAAATAAGCAACCACACAGAGCTACACCCTAGCAACTACCCAAAATTCCCTAGCAATTCAGCAATCAAAAAGAATAAGCCACAGCCTCTTTATGTGTGGTGACAAATGGAGAAGTTAGTGGTTAAAGATGAGTTTTGCAAAACCTGTAGTTCCTTCAGTAGAGCTTCCGATTTGTTTTGGATCGTCTAATGAACATTATTGTCTGAACAATCGACTCGCAGGTATGCCTGAGCATAGCATATTGAGCCGCCGTGCATCTTGAGCTGTGTTGTCATTTGCATCAAATGAAATACGCCATATAGATATGTGGTTTCATAACCCATGGTTTTCGTGCCACTGATGAGATTTGATTTGGATATTGCTTTTCAACGCTGTGCCAAAAGGTGTATTTCATATTTTTCAACTTCACTCAGCAAAATGAACTCAAGCGATGTTAGGAAAAGTAATAATGTGGAAGATGAACATCATAAATCCTGCGTATTCTGCTCACGCTGTTTGGACTGAGGCTGATATTACGCCGTACAGAGAAAGAACAAAATGGCCTGTGGAAACTGAGACTTCTTACAGAAATCCAGTACTTCTTCCAGAGGAACGCTCCAAACGTTCCCTCAGGATCAGCATTGTTCACTTCCACATGGCCCAATGCCAGTACATCAATTAAAGAGAATACAGAGGGAACGTCCAATCTAATATACAGCAGTGTCCAGCCTTCTGAGGACACACTGTTAATCTCATTTAAACCTGGAGGAAACAGAAAGTTAAAGGAATTTAAAAAGTGTTATGACATGAAAGAAATATTTAAGATCCTGCATTGTGATTCTACTCTTGGTTAGGGTCTTAAATATTTCTTTCTCTAGAAAAAACAACGTGTGTATATATGAATGAGCCCTTTATATATATATATATTTAATTATAATAAATATTTAATATAATAAATATATATATATATATATATATATATATATATATATATATATAT